GTACTGAACTCCTGCCAGTCAAGAACTCCAAGCCTGTGTTCAGCACCATCACGGAAGACTCTTGGAAGTTGGTCTCTGCAGGACCACCCAAGACCAAGCGCTCTGTTGCCTATGTGGGCAACATCTCCCCAGATTGCACAGAGGACCGCCTGAAACAGTTCATCATGGACAGAAGCGAACAGGCAATGTCAGGCTCTTCCATGCCCGTGCATACCTGCAGTGTACATGTAGGAGAGAGTGGACGAGTATCAGCCAGAGTCACTGTAGATGCCACCTCCATGCCTATTGTGACCGCCCCCAACTTCTGGCCTAGGCCTTTGTACTGCCGACCGTGGCGCTTCTCCAAAAACTCTGGCGGAAACCGCAGCAACAACAGCGAAAACAGCAGCAGCAGCAGCAACGACAACAGCAGCAGCGACAACAGCAGCAGCAACAGCAGCAGCAGTAGCAGCGACAACAGCAGCAACAGCAGCAGCAGCGACAACAGCAGCAGCAACAGCAGCAGCACCGCAGAATCTTCCGCACCACAGGCAAACACCACTGGCAACGCAAGCAGTGCAGATGAAAGGGACAGTGAGGATGGAAGCTCTGCCGATGCAGGTACCTCGAGTCGAACTCCAGGGATGAAAGCTCGCTCCCACCAGAGAGATTCACCACCTGCAGACAAAGCAGCCAAGTACTCTGTCTCAGTTGGCAATGCGTTTGCACCCCTAAGCCGGTAATGACCAACAAAACCCTGAAACTGTTCGTAACAAATGCCTTTGGGCTAAGGAGTAAGTTGGATGAATTCCGCCATGTGCTCCATGCTGAATCCCCAGATGTTGCCATAGTAACAGAGTCTAAGCTGTCAGAGGCTGTGACTCAAGCAGAGTTGACACTCCCTGGCTACTACCAGCCTCTGAGACGCGACCGAAACCGCCATGGTGGCGGGGTGGCAGTTTGGGTGAAGGCCACGCTAGCCATGAACGAACTGGATACCATTGATGTCTTCAGCCAGGAGCTAGTATGGCTAAACGTCAAACTGTCAACTGGCCGGCCTGTGGCTATATGTGCTGCTTACCGTCCTGGAACGTGCTCAGACACAGACACCAGCATCTTCGACGTGATCTGCAGGGGCCTCACGTCCACAGCCTGCCGCAACTCCGCTGTGATAGTTGCTGGAGACTTCAATGTACATAACCAAGAGTGGCTCCACAGTAGCAGAACAACTAGAGCCGGCGAGCATGCAGAGGACATGTGCTACATGCACGGTCTTGAGCAGCTAGTCGACCAACCAACGCGTGGCCGCAACACACTGGACCTGATTATGTCCGACCTACCCGTAGAATCATTGGCTACTGTCTTGCCACCTCTTGGCAAATCTGACCATGCCTGTATACTTGCTGACTTCCAGATCCGTGCATCACGCGAGCCTCCCATATCAAGAACAGTATGGAGGTATCAGTATGCTGATTGGGCCAGGCTCCGTCACTTCTTCAGAACCACCAATTGGGCAGCTATTGCTCGGACTGATCCAGACCTGTCATGCACTGGCATCTCAGAGAGGATCCTGGAGGGTATGAAGAGATTCATCCCCTCTAAAATTCTGAAAACCCGAGCATCAGATCCTCCATGGTGGACCCCTGAGTGCACTGCTGCCACAGTGAGGAAACGACGTGCATGGAGGTGCCTGAGAGACGACCAGTCTGACGACGATCGGCAGTCAGCCTACCAAGATGCACGGCTCTCAACGATTGCCTGTCTCAAAACTGCCAAGAATGCTTTCATGGCGAAACTGAGACAGAAAATGACCTCAAAGCAGCTGCCACCCAGTGACTGGTGGCGCACCGTCAAGCATGCCTCTGGCAATGGGCGTAGTCAATCTGTTCCGACATTACGTGATCCCGATGGACGAGAGTACACAGCCAGCGCAGACAAAGCAGAATGCATGGCCCGCTATTTTGCAAGCAAATGCAGTCTTGCACAAGATGACCTGTCCGCCCCATTCCCATGTGTCAGAACTCGAACTGACCAGGCTCTTTCGGACGTCCGTTTCCGCGTCGCTGCTGTTGAACGCACCCTTCGCCAGCTCAACCCATCAAAGGCAACCGGGCCGGATAGGATACCGGCACGAGTGTTGAAAGCCTGCTCTGCTGAACTGACGCAACCGCTTTCCATACTGTTTACCCAATGCTTCCAAACTGGGATACAGCCCAAGACATGGAAGATTGCCAACATAGTCCCTATATTCAAACGGAAATCAAAGTCTCTACCCTCCAATTACCGTCCAGTTTTGCTCTTGTGTATTCTGTCCAAGGTGATGGAGACAATCATCAACAGAACAATCACAAATTTCCTCGAGTCGAACAACGTCTTCTCCACCAGACACTTTGGATTTCGCCATGGTCATAGTGCAGCCGACCTCCTTACCAGCCTCCACCACCAGTGGCTGCATACAGCCGGGGAGAAAGGCGCAGCACGCATACTCGCCATTGACATCGCCGGTGCGTTTGATCGCGTATCACACCCCGGTGTGCTACACAAGTCCGACGTATACGGCCTGCGTGGGCAACTGCACCAGTGGCTCAGCAGCTACCTCAGTGAACGCTACCTTCAAGTGGTCATTTGTGGCCAGACATCCTCAAGGCTCCCAATTCAGGCTGGAGTCCCCCAGGGCAGTATTCTGGGTCCGACTCTCTTCTTCATGTACGTGAACGACTGCGAGGACCACGTACCAGCCGGTGCTGACCTAGCCTCGTTCGCAGACGACACTACGCTGTATGCCAACATCACCCCCACCACCCAAGAAGATACCACCCAAGCCCTCCAGCTAGCAGTCAACAACATCTCCCGCTGGGGTCAAGAATGGAAAATAAAATTTGAACCAGCCAAATCCCAGGCACTGACCGTCAGTTTCCACCGCACCCAATGGGACATGCACCGATTGACTTCAACGGATCAAATGTGACGGAACAGGAGGAGCTCAAAATCTTGGGCATCAGTTTCGATGGTCAGCTTACCTTCCGGCGCCACCTTCGTACCGTAGCCCTCCGGGCAACACAGCGACTTGGTGCTTTGCGTAAGGCTTTCCACCTCCTAGACGTGCCCGGTCGCATCCAAGCCTACAATGCTTTTGTGCGCCCAGTGATGGAGTACTGCCCTATTGTCTGGATGGGAGCGGCCCCATCCCATCTTGCAAGACTCGACCGTGTGCAAGCATACTATTCTCGACCGTGTGCAAGCACACTCCACATACTATTTCCAATAACGTCTGTTCTTCTTTTCTCTCCTTCTCCTCCTAGCACTGTCTGTCTTATCATTCCCCTCCTTCTAATGTACTGTCTCTCCTCCTAACATTTCGTATCATGTACCTGTAACTCCTTTCATTTTTCTTCTTTTTTTTGGTGCGTTTTATGTCCCCATGACGTCGAGACCTCAGTTCGGCTGAGGGCAAAAAGCCTCACCATCACTATGCTCCCACTATGCAATTTTTTGTCTTTGCCTGTGAGCTGTGATCATTGTAAAAAAAAAAAAAAAAAAAATGGGCCAATCACGGTCATTCGTGCTTTAATAAGAACGAAATGGCGTTTTTAGTGACATTTTGCATACAAATCGCCATCTAGTAGGGCGCAGTCACCCAGTTTGGGTGGAAGTGCGCGAGTTCGATTGGGATTCAAGTAGGAAGGGAGCGTCTCAGCTTTCTCGGACCAAGACCATTCGACTCAGCACCCCGAATAATATAACTGGTGTCATTTTGATTTTAGGCTTAACTTCCCCTTTAATTGATGCAAGACACTATGCTTTATGTGCTTAATGGGCATGTGTCCTGAACCCTTCATCTACCAGCCATCTAATGTATGTAACGGGCGATCGCAGCCAAAAAAGCAACCATGGTATGAAATCTAGACAACTTTTGTACAAGCAAGTTGTGTTTTCCTGATTCCAGATGTATCACTGCACCCAGGTAAGCATGGATATTGGTACGGCATGCAGAAGTATATGAAGGCCATAGGTGGAATACCCCAAATACACGCCAATTGTGCATATTTCTGACCAACAAGGGTATCACAAACAAATAGACTGAGAATTAGTAGGTTCCGCGGAGCGGTGCGGCCGAAGGGCCATCTTTAAGGGGGGGGGTCCGGGGTCCTCCCCCAGATTTTTTTTGGAATTTAGATGGCAAATCCTGCACTCTGGGCGACTCCCTGTACAAAATCATACATCGAAACTTTTTCTCCCCGGTTTTGGACGTTCCACGTGGAGCGACTTTTGGGTACCGGCCGTAGAAGTGGCGCCGGCCCTGGTACCGGGAACATAGGGACAAAACAACCTCATAAGCGTTGTCCCAGTGCATGAAGAGCAACAACATACCAGGGATATGGTCATATTGTCACATATTTGAGGTGAAACAATTGGTTCAAAATTGCAAATTTGAATTCTTGTGTCAGATTCGAAATCTGTATTTTCTTCATCTACTCACATCCAGCGTAAGGTAAGTGAAAGAGAAGACAAGAAGCAGTCGCTGGCTGGTGAATTACGCCTGCCTTGACAATTTTAGGCCATCGCTGCCCTCCCTCTCGCTCCTGTTTTGAGAGCGAATACTGCGATGGGGTCAGCGATACAAATTTTCAATTTCGAGTCGCATTCCGCGATGATATCGTCAGCCGATCTCTCCAATCGTCCACCACATCTAGAAGACGTCGACATGACCTAGAACAAGCTACATCTTTGCTACAAGCAGAGAAACTGAGCGAGAACACGATCGAAACAGCGACAATTGTTTGCGCTGAAAAAGCATACTTTTGAACGCGTTCGTTCTCCATACTTTCAAGTGGCAGCCTACCCATGTCATACATCAAAAGTTTCAGTGGGATCTCAGCTGTCCAGCGAAAAAACCGCGGCTCGATCGAAGCTACACGCCGGGGACCGGCGTGCTTGATTGGAGTGCAGCGAACCGTACCATATGGTACGGTTCGAGATGGGACTGGTACACAAAGGGTTAAAACATTATAAATACTCACGGATACAAGGATTCGTAAGCGTCGGTGTCCAATTACCATTAGTGCCACAATAAATGTCCTGTGGTGTCGTAGTATTAGCTGTATATCCAGTATCACACATCACCGTGAGTTTACTTCCAGCTGTTGTTGGACTTCCAGTTGGGAATTCACCATGAGGAATATTGCCTAGTGGTGATCCACAGTCCCCTGTGTGTGCAGCGGATTAGAAATACAAAAATCATGACTAGTTACATATTATTTTACCCTTTAAGGAGGTTCGCGACGGTTAGCGCCATGTTGGATTTCCGAATTTTTTTCTGAAAAATAATGCCTTTCGGAGTGGAAAAATGGGACGCGATCATGCACAGAAAATAGTGCTCGAGTCGAGACAAGATTTGAGGAAGAAGCTCAGCCACTAGTGGACTTGCGGATTTGTTTTGACATTGGCGGTTTTTGGACAGCTCGGTTCTCCTGCCGACGTGTCGTGGAGATGAAGACGCGGGAGAGTAATCCGTCACCCACGACGCGGCCTCTCATTCTGCGTACTGGACGATGCAAGAAGCCGAGGAGGGGGACGCTTCGCAAACTCAAACGATCAATCGAGTTCCTGAAAAACGGAAAGGGCGATCTCCATCAATAACGCCACTGGATTCGACTCCCGCGAAGAGGTCGTTCAGTGCCCCTCTTCACGGTCGACGAATCGTTCATCTCAGGTATCTGGCTGTGGGATTGTCTGCGTGCCAGAATCCTGGATGTGGCAAACCTCTGGCGCTCATTGATTGCGTTGAAGAGAAGAGGTACGACCTGGGCAGCGTACTTGTCATTCCGTGTCAGCAGTGTGGGATGGAGAATTTTATAGATACAGATAGCCCCGTAACTGCTCAACACCCTGGCCCCCGTGCTTCCACAAGCAACACCAAAGCTGCTTTGGGTAAGTGCGTTTTTCAATCTCATAAGATTTATTCATGATATTTGCGAGTCATTGCCACCCTATGGCTATGGAAATGTATGAGCACACTGTATGCGCGGCGGCCGCGAGCGTCTGTGTGTTTGCATAGACCTGCATGTTTGTGCATGTGTGCACCATACGCATGTATGAACATGCACATGCATATGCGCTTATGTGGACGTGCCCTCGCACACATACTATACACACGTGCATGACCGCTCCCAGGGCATGTTGGTGTGACATGTGTATGCGGGCATCTCCACTCATGCACATGAGTGTGCACATGCATGTGGGTGGGTACGCACACATGCGTGAATGTATGTGTGTGTACGCGCGCGTGTGTTCTATTGCGTGTGAGAGCATACATGTGTGTGTGTGTGTGTGTGCATGTGTGTGTGTGTGTGTATGTGTGCACGGATGTGTGTGTCGATGGTGTGCATTTTTGTGATTGGTGAACACTCTGATCCCTAAACCGCGATACCGGAGCTCCCAAGCTACAGCCTCAGATTGATTTATAGTTCATCGTTGGGAATGAGTTCGCTGCTCATGATGCTGTTGCGGATGTTGCGGCCCTAGCTGAAATTGTCGAAGCTCGCCCTGATGCCAGTATCCTGTAGCACTCTGTCACTTTTGCATCAGCATGTTCGGCGATGGAGTTTGCAGAACATCAGCAAAAGCGGCTGGCCACCCTTCAACCGTTGGTCCAAGCAACGTGCTTCTCTAAATCAGTTGCAGTGCAGGCAGCTGCCAGTGGGTTGGTGATGAAGCACTTTGTCTTGTCCTACAAACGAAGTGGTGAGCCAGCCATTTCCAGATTGATGAAGGAGCAAGTCGGAGGTAAGAAGCGGGTGACAGTCTCAATGAAGATTATATTAGCAGTGGCTGAACACCTAGCGAAGAACCAGCAGCAACACAACTGTAAGGAACGCCCTGTGGCACAATGCTTCACTGTCTTGTTTGTGCGCACCGTAAAATACCATCATTTTTGCCAGCGTGGGGACACATTCTAGCTCGCATAGTTGAAGAACAAGAGGACTCAATGTTGTCTGATTCGTTCCAACATGTCAGCTTTCATTGTAGTTTGATATGGGGCAGTGCTAAGCGCCATCATAGCTACATGTACATGTATCACAACCAAGTGCCAACAGGAGAGTAATCATGGAGAAAAGTACCTATCGATAATGCGTCCACCCAGGGTTTTCCGGCAAATTTACTAGTTCAGCTATTCCATCCTTGTATTGTTCTGAACGCCGAGGGCTCTAGTGAGTTTATGCAACACCTAACAGCCAAAAATCCAATAAGTTATGACCAAAGCAGCAGCAGAGAAGTACAAGCAATATAGATACGTGAATTTACCAATTTTAGGCAAATTTTGACAGTTTTTTGGATTTTTCTCCAGAATATGCACGGTGACCCCTATTTTCGCCGCGGTAAACCTGTTCCAACCCACTTATAGAACGTGTTTGAAGTATCCACATATGGGGCAAACTCAAAAATAAGCTGCAAAAAATATTCAAAGTTTCATTTTTTGCGTCTTTTTGTTCTTCTCCAGGAAATGACGACCTGGATCCGATCGTCAACCAAAGTGTACATTTTTCGGTATTGATATCATCTTAGTCAATACCTCGAACAGTCTGTAAAATTTTATGTCATATTTTCTGTCCTAACTGATGTTATGGACGATTTCTCATCAATTTTGGGATTTTGTGTCATTTTGTGTCATCAAGGAAAATTGTGTTTTTGGCAAGACCTATTCGGGCAATTGAAAAACTGATGTTACTAAGCGAAAATATAAGGCTGTACCTATTCAAACCTGATGTCAGATTGGGCTGATGTTGAAATTAAATTTTTGGGCCTAACTGTCAGGAACCCCCTTAAGCTCGGGAAAAAATGTACGCACACTGAACTGTTTGATCTCGACTCACATCAATTTCCAGCTCCGAACAAAATATATTCTCATTACACTCCACCTTGATGGATTTTTATCATCCTGGGCTCGTTGTAAAGATCAGGACCAAGCGAATCCATCCTGGCAGCTCTCAGCTCCATAGACACATCAGGGCCACTTCCACGTCCTCTCCAAACTACTCCACCGTGCCTCGGAACGGCACAACAACTCATTTTCACATTCTTGTTCGGCTTCTTGCACAATTCAAACTGCGCTGCAAAGCTTAGATCCAAGCGCTTCATTTGATGTCCATCACGCATGTGCCGTGCCAAAGGTAAATCCCCTGGCACGCTCCTCAACAAAAAGAATTTCTGAACAAAATAATTCGCGTTCCTTCTGGCCCGTGATTTCCGTGTTCATCTTCTTGCCTCTCAATTAATTCTTATCCTGTTGCGACAAACTTTATATGTCTGGGCAGATGAGGTCAAGACCTTTCCAACTGTGTATTGACTGTCGCGATGCGTTTATGTTTCACGAAGTTAATAAAGTTTGTACACTGGTCTATGCACTGTGATATATCGCGCGAATGTTTTTGCGAGTTAACTCGTACGTAGTGGATCAGGTCATGAATAAAGCGCGATTGAACTCGTACTCAGCACGCAGAGGGTTAATTGATGCAAGACACTATGCTTTATGTGCTTATTGGGCATGTGTCCTTAAAACATTAGAAATACTCACGGATACAAGGATTCGTAAGCGTCGGTGTCCAATTACCATCAGTGCCACAAGATATGTCCTGTGGTGTCGTAGTATTAGCTATATATCCAGATCCAATATCACACATCACCGTGAGTGTACTTCCAGCTGTTGTTGGACTTCCAGTTAGGAATGTACCATGAGAAATATTGCCTGGTGGTGATCCACAGTCCCCTGTGTGGGCAGCAGATTAGAAATACAAAAATCATGATTAGACATATTATTTTACCCTTTAAGCTCGGGAAAAATCTTGACTCGCATCAAATTCCATAATTCTCATTTCCCGTGTTCTGCACTTCGCATGTGAGAAGTCACGCCCAGTCGAGGTGATTCAGGTCGCGTGTGTGAAGTAGGATCCATGCAACCGCGGAATAGCCCCCTTGCTCGAACCCAGACAATAATAAGGGGATCGGTCAATTGTTTTGAGATTGACGGCATATCCATCAGAACAACTTAGTGTCTTGGAATTTCCTGTGGTTGTATCACGTCCTATCCGATATGTACCTCCAGTTTGATTTGTGGGCACTCCACAGTCTCCTAACAATCCAGTTCCAAAGCAATGGAATAGTTCAAATTGTTTTGAAAGATAATGTCCATAGATAAAAATTGGCTTGTGAGCAACACTGGCTCACACTCAATCTCTGCTTTTCACAAATTCATTTCAGGGAAAAGATTCAACGTTTTGGTCATAAAATAATCATCATCAGGAATGAAGTAGGTACTTGTGTAACTGATATACAGTCTCAGCACTCAAAGCACATACTTGTAGTTACGTTTGTAGTTATCATTCGTTCATTGTCTCACAAGGAGAAGAAGAAGACCCAGGGCAGTGCGAGTATGCGCACTGCTATCCATGCATTCCTACGGTGTACTATTTATGTGTATACAAAATACGTGTGAATAAGTAGCCATGCTACACTATCCTACTTCTACCAAAAATTCACGCCCTCGTGAATAGAGAAATAAAACAGAGAAAAAAACTCAGGACATAGCAGAACCGAGCAGGCAGTCCAGCATTGCGAGCGAGATGGGCTCTGACGACAGCAGGCTACAACTAGGGTCATGGTCGACGGCTTGCAGAGCAGGCACCGTGAGGCATCAGATGCGAACCGAATATTCCTTCTGATCCAACTGCGTTAGCCGAGAACGCATGGTACGCCTAGAGCCAGAAACCTTCGGGAGGGCGAACAAATTTTCCACTCACCGCATTGTACCTGGGCAAAACCACTGAGAGGTTGACATCCACAGCTTTGGCAGCAGCCAACTCAGTTTCGGAGAGGCCAGCTAATACAGGAGTTGCGACATCCTCAGATGCCGTTGCAGCAGGGGAACTGGCTTGCTCCGGCTGATCTGCAGAAGTCTCGAGATGGGATCGATGCGCCTCCGGCAACAAGGTACGCAACAGACCATCTGGATTCGAGTACTGCCGACCAGGCCGGTGAACAGAAGTGAAGCTATACTCCGAGAGTTGCTCCACTCACCGAGCTTTGCGACTGCGTGGTTCCTTAATGGACATCAACGGCGTGAGGGCAGTGTTATCAGTACGGGCAATGAAATTCCGACCTAGCAAATAGTGCCGGAACTGATTGGCAAAATGCACAAGGGCAAGTGTTTCCCGGTCTGACGCATCGTAGTTCCTCTCTACCTTCGTCAATACCCGGCTGCCAAAGGAAATGGGTGTTCCTCGCCATCTTGAATTTGACTGAGGACAGCTCCAATGGCCACCTTGCTTGCATTAGTATCTAGAACAAAGCTGTCAGACGAGCCAGAAAAGTCAGGATATGCTAACACGGGGGCTGTGGTCAGTGACCGCTTCATAGACGTCAACGCCGCATCACTACTCTTAGTCCATGTAAAGCTTGCACCCTTGCCTGCTAATACATTTAGTGAAGCGAAGCGCTGAGCAAAACCACGGATGAAGCGGCGGTAAAACCCGACGTACTCCAGAAACACCTGTACACCTCGTACAGACTGGGGTACGTCCCACTTCACAATAGCCTCAACCCTGGTGGGATCCGGAGCCAAACCTTCAGCCGAAACTTCATGGCCAAGGAAGAGCACCTTCCATTGGAAAAAGAACATTTTTCCAAGTTAACCTTTAGATCAACAGTACGAACCCGGCCAAATACAGACTGCAGGATCTGGAGCTGTCCAGTGAAGGTAGCGCTGGCATTCAATACAGTGTTGAAGAATACTTGACAGATTGGTTGGTTAGGCACACTACATAAACCATGAAGCACTGCTTCCATTACACGGTGGAACGTCGCTGGACCGTTTCTACAGCCAGACATAACCAAGAAATCACACAAACCCAACGGTGTCGTAACGGCAGTCTTTGCCGTATCGTCTTCGTGCTTAGGAACCTGCCAATATCCTTACGCTAAATCCAGGCAAGTGAACCATGAACAGCCAGAGAGTGAGTCCAATATGTCATCAACACGTGGGATAGGATACGCATCTGGCTCCGCAATACTGTTCAACTTGCGGTAGTCGATACATAATCGGAGAGAAACGGCCTTCATGGGAACAAGAACTATGGGCGACGCCCAGGGTCTAATAGACTCGGTTAGTATACCACGGGACAACAGATCATCCAGCAAAGCTTGCAAAGAGCGCGTAGGCTGCTTAACTGGCTGTACATCACCAGCACTACTACTATGTGGCAAAACATCACAAGAACCAAAATCACCCTCCTGCAAGAGAAACAAGTCATGATTCTCACGAAGAAGCTCTGTCAGCCTGTTCTTTTCAGCAGGCGCGTAGCACCGCCGTTGGCGGTGGCCCGGCCAGGGGGGGGGGGGGGTCGGGGGGGATCTGCCCCGCGGAATATTTTTGAAATTAGGGTGCAAAATCCTGCATTCTGGGCACTTTTGGCATTGTTTTACTATGGTGGTCGTGGTCGGGCGAAAAAGTGGTCCGGCTTTGGCCGGACCAGCCGGAGCGGCTGCTACGCCCCTGTTCAGGTACTGCCAGATGATTCCAAGACTCAACATACGTACGGATTATCTCGGCACGTTCAGGGGATAGCACAAACGGTTGCATATCCGCAACAGATGAATCAGCAGGATCATCATCCTCTCCAAGCAAGTTATCGGGTACAGGAGATAATTGTGCAATACCAACATCTTTAGCAATTTGTACTGGATAGTCACAGTGATTCTCCAACACAACTACCGCACCGGACCTGCCAGATCCAACCGTAACCACACTGGGGGTCACAGACACATCTGCCAAGGACGACGAGGGCACTGAACGCTTCAGGGGTCGACCTCGGACGACTTTGGTAATGGTCTTGCAGACGGAACTGTCATCATGGCATGGACTTACCATCCACCAGCCGCTAGATGCGGACGCAGTCCGCACAATGGCAGCGGACCGACAGGCATGGCGTGGAGCTTGCCCCACCAAACAGGACTGATTCTCGTGATCCACTTTATTCCGCCGGGCATGTTGTACGCATATTCTACATTATTTTATACTTTGGATGAAATTTTCCATTAGTCCTATTGGTATTGTTGCTAACGGCTTTTGTTGACGTCACTTCTGTCATTTCATTGTATCGTATTACTCTTCAGACATCAATCCTGAATGGCATAAGCGAAAGTGGCACCCCCGCCACCTACGCGGACATGCTTTTAACCCTTTATTACCGGATTACTTGCACAGCATGCACCAGAATTACGAATTTCAGCACAATTTCCAACTTCACCAGGTCATAACTTTGGTCTCCTTCACTTGATTTTCACAATCTAGGGCTCGTTGGAAAGCTCTTGGCGAGAGCAACGCCAGGGTACCAAGCTCCATTATCCAGTCGCCACAAATCAGGCGCGGTAACACAGCAAAGTCGTCTCCGAGCCTGATATGCAAGCAAAATCGTCCCATCAACGCCATTCCACTCTCCTTCATCGCAGAACGCTCAAATTTGTTTGAGACGATTCAAACTTCAGCCGACTACGTCATTATCATGTGCTTAGTCGCTCAAAGAGCACACGAAAAGGGATTTTCCCCAAAAATGGCGAAGTGATCGATCAAAAATTTGAATTTGCCGAGATGAGAATACGGCGCGCGATATCTCTGGCGTCCGACATCGTAACTCTTCGGCGATTGTTGCATTGGATAGCTTGGAGTTTCCGCTACCAAATAGACCCTTCGATTGTTGAATTCGCACAAGAAATGATGGAGTTACGAAGATATTACTGGCCTACAGACTTTCGATCATATATGATCGAAAGTCTGCAGGCCGGTAATAAAGGGTTAATATAATAATAATATAAATAATAATGCCAGGGACGAGATAACTCGTCTTACAGACCCCCACGGCCAAGGACGAGATATCTCGTCCTCGTAGTGCGCACTACTTTATCTCACCGGCCATGCACTACAATCTACCTTGGCCGATTGTGGATCTTCGAGGGGAAACTAGGGGTTTTCCCCTATTGAACAAGACCTCTCTCGCCGTGTTTGAGTAAGTAAGGGCGCGGGAGCATATGTTCAGAGCGCTCGGGCGAAAAACATATTTCGATTCAGAAACAATTAGATTGACGGAACATACTTTAGGTCTCTCTAGCTGTCACTAAGGCACGGCGAGTCGCCGAATATCGGCTGAAGAGGTGCTCCAGTCCATCATGGACTCGGACATTCATGACTGGAGCTGCGATAGTGAATGCGATGACTCGGATGCGGACATAGCCGTCCGCGATCGTGACAGAACAAATTTCGCGGACGAGTCCGCCGTGGTCGATGTCGTACCTACTGCCTTGGTCGAGGATATAGGAGGTGTCAATGTCAAGTTTGAGCAGGGCGCAGCAGCACAAGCTACGCCAGCGCAGGACAACAAGTTGGTTTGAGTTGATACGAATAATTTGAAAAAAAAATCAGATGTTTTTATGAAAATGGCCCGGCCAACAGCGTACATCTGGCCTGGCACTGAAAGGGTTAACAAGAATGAGTCCAGTGGAACAGCAACACAATCCACAGTCACAGATGCCTCTCGCACCAACTTGCATGGGACCAGCACGACATAGCCGGCAGGCAGAGATAATTATTATTTACTACAAACAGTGACACGAGAATAGTTCGTGCCCGGGTCTTACTATCACTACTCCAAGAGTCAGATAGCGGTTCAGCGTCCGCCGCAACAACCGGACTGGGCTCTGATGGACCAACACGAGTAG